TCTTCACCTCTTGTTGTTACGTGGATTGAAACAAAGAGGATGGTGAGATTTCAGGTTCTGACGGCGACGAGTATGAAGATGGTTCTCTTCTGGGACGTTACGCCGTGTAATGTAGTAGAAACTGCCTGACGTTTTAGAGGTTGCAAATATACGACACCCTTCTGTAGGCAGTTGTTTATCAATTTTCTTGTTTAACTGTATATAAAAAATAAGCATATCACGTTGAATTGTGCTGAGACGAGTATTAATTATCATCAGTTGTACGTTTAATGTTTCCGGCTTCATAGCTGAGAGTGACTCGTGTCAAAACATTATCTGAGCCAGGAAGTACAGTGCAATGACACGTGTTTCCTCAAGTTGGTTTCCTGAAGCCAAAAAGGATTACCCTGTGCTGGGTTCACAAGCGGCTGACAGGTGAACCAGCGGTTCGCGAGAATGTTAAGAATTATACAGCGTTTCGACAGACTTTGCGGTTTCCTTCTTCAGGGCGAATGACAAGGCTTTTTTTTCAGTTGCTTCAAATGATGACGCGTCATAAGTTCTAGCTTTAGAGACGAAACATTTATTTTCGTTAGCCTCGCACGAGTTTTGTTTGTACACGTAATATACAACGCTGTATGAAATTCCTACACCAGTGTTCAAGTAAGAATGAAAACAAACCTCTGACATGTCAGCGCGAGTGTTTCTTATTTCTACATGTGATTTATGATGGATAAGTCGTGAGGAGGTCAAGGAGTTATCTTGTTGTTATATTACGATTTGAACAAAACGGATTCTGTCCACCAGTTAGTGCTTGGTTAACCGCAAAGAAACATTCGTATGTTCTCGTAAGTGTAGCGAAAACGGTATCCGTGAACAGAACTACAAATATTCCTAGTTATCAGCAAAGTGGAAAGTTTAGATAGTTGAATTATGCCAAGAAACCGTGGGGTGCTGTGAAATGAACAGCAGCCAAGCAGTGGGGAGTTCCACCAGATAACATTTTACCTTTACGCTCAATTTGCAACAAGGTATGGGGTTTGACCTCAAGATATGCATGCGATTCTGTACGTGGCCAGTTTGTTTTAAAATGAGTTTGCTTAGCAGTGAAAGACGGGTGTTTCTTGAAAGTGTTTTTGTTCTCGGAACGTCGTTTTAGAACAGAAATGTCTAAATATATTTTTTGTGTTTTGCAGTTTTAATTGCGTCAGACATATCTGTGTTGTTTTAAATAACAGACAACAGAATACAAACGAAGATGCGAAAATAAGTAGGTATACTTTGAAATGCTTTAAGTGTGTTTGAGTTGATTAAGTTTCTTGTTACTTAGTTTGGGGGATCTTTAAGATTATATTTCTAGTTTACTTAGGGACGCTTTCTAAAGTGCGTAAGTTATGTGGCGACAGATTAAGAGACGACTGAACAAATTAATTCAGAAGAATATGGAAGCATGTTGTCGTGGCCTGTTCTAAGATATTAAGCCAGCACTTGCCAGGAACGAGTGAAGAAAACACGGAAAAATCTTAGTTGTGATAATTGGCCGCCTGGCCGAAAATCGAAATCGAAAAATTATCGATTTGTCAACACTGCGCGTGAGTATTATGTCAGTAATACAATTAACCTACCATTTTATATTTGACGATGTTAATGTGAGCGTTCAGTGATTTTACAGGAATTGATCCAAATTTGCACATCTTTATTACGTTTTAATGTCTCAATATTTGCCCAAAATCCTACAAACATTTCAAGTGCTGAGAACCGAACATACCCTGCTCTGTAAATCGTCCTCAGATTACCACACGGGCACAATTTACGATAAGGGAAAAATAATGCATTTTCGTAATTTTTGTAACGTGGTTTGTATAACTGCTTAAGAGAAGCAAATGATGTAATCAATATAAGCCACATTGGAATGATATCTGTATTAGGCAATACTTACGCGTCTGTCTGGGCTGACTCTTATTTCTTGTCTTTGTGATCCCATAGGTATGTTTATCTATAATTTCCGTATGTATTTACATTGTTTCTCTCATAACTGTCATCTTTTTTTAACCCCCCCCCCCCCCCGG